CCTACCCATGGTCTACACACTGACAGCAGCTCTCCAGGGTCTTGGGCAGGGACCCTCCCTAGCCTACCCGGAGATTTTGGGGAAAGAACCTGGGACTTTTTGCCACGGAGCTATGGGCCAGGTAGCACAAGCTAGCCTGACTTCTCCTCCTGAGGTTGGAGCTGGAGAGGGGATTGTCCTCACAAGGACACCGTTTGGCACAATTTGCGGGAAAAGGGGGGAGAGGCACTGAATGCAGCAAAACAACAACAAACAACAACAACAACAACTGAGAGAGGAAAAAGTTCTGAACGTGTCCGAAATCTTTTGTTATTGCCCACGCTTGGAAAAGGGGGAAGCTGCAGTAAAATATATACTGTATTGGCCCAAATATAAGCCACACTTTTTTGGGGGCCAAATTCTGTGATGATGATGATGATAATAATAATAATAATAATAATAATAATAATAATAATAATAATAATAATAATAATTTATTATTTATACCCTGCTCATCTAGCTGGGCTTCCCCAGCCACTCTGGGCGGCTTCCAACAAAATATTAAAATACAGTAATGCATCAAACATTAAAAGTTTCCCTAACAGGGCTGCCTTCAGATGTCTTCTAAAAGTCTGGTAGTTGTTGTTGCGGCTTGTATTTGGAGGTGAGTGCCGGCACCAGCTTGGGGAGTGGGGCGCCGAGTGTCGGCCACCCCCCGTTCAGGGCAGTAGTGCTGCGAGGCAGGCTGCCCTCGCAAATAAGCCTTGAATTTTAAAGGTGCAGCTTATTTGTGGGTGCGGCTTACTGTCGGGCCAATATGGTGTGTGTGTGTGTATTTGCAGAGGATTGTCTTGGAGGAAGGGAGTTCTTTATTTTTTGGATCCACCTCATTTTTGTGATTGTAGGTTGTTTTAAACTGTTTCTAATAATGTGTTTTAACCCGCCCTGGTTAAAAACCCGCCCTGGGACCTTAGGGTGATGGGCAGGAGAAGAAGATGACGAAGAAGAAGAAGATGACGAAGAAGAAGAAGAAGAAGAAGAAGAAGAAGAAGAAGAAGAAGAAGAAGAAGAGGAGGAGGAAGAGGAGGAGGAGGAGGAGGAAGAAGAGGAGGAGGAGGAGGAGGAGGAGGAGAAGAAGAAGAAGAAGAAGAAGAAGAAGAAGAAGAAGAAGAAGAAGAAGAGGAGGAGGAGGAAGAAGAGGAGGAGGAGGAGGAGGAGGAGGAGGAGGAGGAGAAGAAGAAGAAGAAGAAGAAGAAGAAGAAGAAGAAGAAGGAGAAGAAGAAGAAGAAGAAGAAGAAGTAGTTATTGTTTCCAAAATGCACTGGGCAACAATAATTGATTGCACTTGGGGAACTTTCTCTCCTGGTGTCTTCTGGGGACACAGAGGGTTCATGGGGGCCATGACACGGTGCTCTGTGAGTGCAATACCTCAACACCGGCCAGGTGACCATTCAAAGAGAGGGCTGGGGGCTCCCTGGCCCTCCCCACATGTATGCTCCTAGGTACATTAGAGTCATGGCGGTCAGGACAAACTGGGATGGTGAATTGTGGAAAGTCGTGGTGGCTCAGCCCTAGCAAACCCCACCGAAAGACTAGTGAGCAAAGGAGAAATAAGATAGAAGCTGCAATTCCAAGCTGGGTCGGTTGCCTTTATTGGAACATGGGTATATATATACATGGTGACTATCTTTACATATGCGAAAAAGTGACCTATTCAAGCTTAGAGGCTCTACAGACGTCTGAGCAGCTACGCTCCCCTTGGTTCAGCACAAGGCCAAGCGCTCATCGCCAAGAGCCCTGATTGTGGCAAAGGAAACAGGGACCTATTTCCGGAGGGCGGTTGCCCTAGAATCTCGCTGAAGCGGCAAAAGAGAGCAGACACAGAGCGTTTAGCACTTGAGAACCCGTTTCAAAAGACAGGTCATACCAGGGGGATGCTGGTCACTGGCTATTAACAATGCAGATTTGATTTATCAGGGGCGGGGAACCTTTTTCAAGGTCTACATTCCCTTCTGGGCAAGCTTCGGGGCTGGTGTGGGCACATGCCAGCAGTGGGGCAGGACCAGAGGCCAAAATGGTTAGAGCAACGAATGTAAATTTCAGCTTTGTTCCGTAGGCTCGTTCCTACACTCACCTCTCTTGGTCCTCCACCCAAGCCAGCAAAGAGACATTCTTAAGAGTAAAAGGAGGCCAAAATTAGGTTTTTTGGGGCTGAGGTTCCCCACCCCTGGGTCCTACATGGCTTTCCCGTAAGATTCCAGAGAACTGGAGTTTTCGCAAAGCGGAGAAAGTTTCCATCTCTCCCTCGCAACAGTTCCCAGCGTTATTGGGACATTACAATGGCTGGCCCAGTCAGTTTCAGATGCAACATGCACACACGTGTGCAGGGCAGGGAGCTTGCATTTATTTATTTATCTCATTTATTAATTTAATTTATTATACCGCCCCATACCCGGAGGTCTCAGGGCTGCTCACAATTTGCATAACCTCCTTCGGATTTTGCACTTCTCCAAATTGTGCAGTGATGTCCTCGGCTCAAGAAAGAACCGAGAAGCACTGATTTAAAAAATGTGCATGTCAGAGGAATATATGCGTTGGGTACATTGAGACACCCTCACATATGTGGCAAAAATATACGTAGCCAAATATCTGTTTAAATGCCAATTTTCATGATAATCATAATGCAGAAAGGAAGGTGGAAGAGACATAGGCAATGAACACATTTGAAACTGATATGGACTTGGAAGTAGCCTTTTCTATCCATTCCTGTACAAAAGATATATGAACTTGACCCCTTGGCATATATACTGTATTTTTTGCTCCATAAGACGCACCTGACCATAAGACACACCTAGTTTTTAGAGGAGGAAAACAAGAAAAAAAATATTATGAATGAAACAGTGGATGTATGATTTTTGTGGTTCCTGCTGTGGCCACAGACATGTGATTTGACAGTGAGTTTGGGGGTAGCCCAATGCAAAAATCCTGAGGATCCATGTGGATCTGTGCTTTGTAACCACATTTTTTGCACCATTGCAGTCCCAGGAAACAGTGGGTGCGTGATTTTTTTGGTGCAGGCTGTAGCCATGGACATGCTATGTGATCTGATGGTGAATTTGGGGTGACCCAATGTAAAAATCCTGAGGATCCATGGGCTTTTACCTCCCCCCTCCCAGGCAGCCTCCTTTATCTCTAGCATCCCTTATCTCCCTCCTGATCACTTGCCGATTAGCTGTTTCCTTTCAACACCCCCTTCCCTCTTGTTTGCCTTAGTGTCTTTACTTAGCTGGAGCAGTTTTTTGCTCCTTCTTTTCTTCTAATTTCTCTCCTCATTGCTTTAACATTCCTGTCTCCTTTCCTTGCAAGTTCGCTGTCTTTACCTCCCCCCTCCCAGGTAGCCTCCTTTATTGCTAGTGTCCCTTATCTCCCTCCTGATCGCTTGCCGACCAGCGGTTTTGTTTCAACACCCACTTCCCTCTTTCAAAACAAAAAAAGGATGATCTTTCTGCCCCGGGCAATTTGGCTCCAGGGACCACACATTCGCTCCATAAGATGCACAGACATTTCCCCTTACTTTTTAGGAAGAAAAAAGTGTGTCTTATGGAGCGAAAAATACAGTATATATATTATGCCATTCACATGGTTTGGCAAAAGCCCCTCTCCCCTGGGAACACTGAGAACTGTAGCTTTGTAGGGGAAGAACAATCCTTGGCACCTCGAGAAACTTCAGTCCTCAGAATTCTTCCCGGAAAGGCATGGCAAGTTAAACCGGTGCATAAAACCAACACAACACAAATTACAAACAAATGCAAATGACAAGAAATGAGATTCTGGATAAACATCAGGAAGGACTTTCTGACGGTAAGAGCTGTGGAACGGACGACCACAAAATGTGCTGGGCTCCCCTTCACTAGAGGTTTTAAACTGAGACTGGAGGGCCATCTCTCAGGGATTCTTTAGCTGAGATTTCTGCATTGCATGGGGTTGGACTAGATGGTAAAGGACCCCTGGACGGTTAAGTCCAGTCAAAGGTGGCTATGGGGTTGCGGCGCACATTTTGCTTTCAGGCCGAGGGAGCCGGCATTTGTCCACATCCACAGACAGCTTTCTGGGTCATGTGGCCAGCAGGGACTAAACCGCTTCTGGTGCATGGAGGACCGTGGCAAGTGCCAGAGTGCACAGAAACGCTATTTACCCTCCCGCTGGAGCGGTACCTATTTATCTACTTGCACTGGCATGCTTTTGAACTGCTAGGTTGGCAGGAGCTGGAACAGAGCAACGGGAGTCCACTCGGTTGCGGGGATTTGAACCGCCAACCTTCTAATCGGCAAGCCCAAGAGGCTCAGTGGTTTAGACCACAGCCAACTCTACAATTCTATGATCCTATGAAGCGGTGCAGTTTAGACATGTCCTATGCGATGGGGTGAGCTCCTGTTGCTTGGTCCCTGCTCCTGCCAACCTAGCAGTTCGAAAGCACACCAAGTACAAGTAGATAAATAGGTACCGCTCCGGCGGGAAGGTAACGGCCTTGCCGTGCGCTGCTCTGGTTCGCCAGAAGCGGCTTAGTCATGCTGGCCACATGACCTGGAAGCTGTACACCAGCTCCCTCGGCCAGTAAAGCGAGATGAGCGCCACAATCCCAGAGTTGTCTATGACTAGACCTAATGGCATAGCTGTCAACTTTTCCCTTTTCTTGTGAGGAATTCCTATTCAGAATAAGGGAATTCCCTTAAAAAAAGGGAAACGTTGACAACTATGCCTAATGGTCAGGGGTCACTTTACCTTTACCTGTGCTTTTAATGAGCCTGGTAGAATCTACTTTCCTATTGTTAAACCTTAGAATCAGGCATATATAGGAACATGTTCTAAGCCTTTGAATCCCGTGAAGTCATCTCATTCATGCAATGACTCCTGCAGGTCTCATTCTCTGCAGATGGGGGGGGGGGACGACACTATCATGGACCAGGGACCACGTGGCTGAATGTTGACCCCCTGCTTTATTTTGGGGTTGAAGAGAGAGCCTAGTAGTTGTAACAGGCTATATGGTTGCTGGACGGGGAGGCAGAAAATACAAAACTGACAGAGGAGGAAGCAAGGACGTGGTGACAGATGGGGATTGGGGCCAGTGTCTGCTTCTCATAAGTTTTCACATGCATCACCAATGGAATGAGGATGTTGCGAGTCCCACATTCATGGCTAAGCATGCACAGGATTGCATGTTTTGCACAGGGTTTAAATGGAAGGAATTCAGTCTCTACAGAGTACGGCAAACTCTGCAAGTCTGATGCTCAGCTATTTTGCTAACTAGGCACAGGACTGCACCGAAGGATAGGTCTTCAGTACCAAAAGGTTTTTGAACTGAAAAGCATGTCTCTAACAAGAGATGGCTAATCTGAGGTCCAGCGTTCCTCCAACAGGTATCTCCCATCCCAGGCATAATGCTCTAGCAAGCCTTTGCCACTCTGGTGCCCTCCAGATGTTTGAATGACAGTTCCCATCAGCCTCAGCAAGCAGAGTCGTGCACCAGATTGACAAAGTCCACGCACATTGATTTGAAAGGCAGAACTGCAAATTGGAGGGAGAACCCTATCTTTGCTGATCAGGACCACTCCGACCACAGTGCAGATGTGTCAGTTAAGTTATTGGCCAGCTGTTTGTACTTCCTGAATGTTTAGCCACGGTCATTTCTTTTAAAAAGCACCCAAAACTTTTAACAATTCACCGTTTTCAAAAATTGCATTTTGACCGCGCAGCCTTATACACAACTGTTGAGAGGTCCCATTGCAGCCTAAAATGCACATTTAAATGCAATATATATTTGGAGATCTCGAAGATTAATGGGGAAAAAATGGAATGGAACAGACTTTTGGGTGAACACATGCAAAAATAACATGGAGCTGAAACAGATTTGTCCACCCCTAACTATGAAGTTTTTTGTTTTTTGTCTTAAGGCATGGATAATAATCCATGAAGTTTATTGAACAGCAATAGTTTTTCTAAGTTGGAGCTGTCCAGAGATTTGGTCTCTGTCTGGCTTCCATCCATAATCTCCTCCCCTTATACTGCCTTGTCCTATGTGGGGTTTCAAGGCTTTCTGATATAGACCTCACCCGTTTCATCTTCCAGAATCTCTTCAATCCGGCTTCTCTGTAAAGCAAAGCAAGGAAACAGTGTGCAGATGGTCTCGGTTCACATTGTTTATTAACAATAGTAACAGCAGCAATCCTGTGTTCATTTCAGTTGAAGCAGTCACCGGTTAAGAAATTATCTCAAGTCCACCCTGCGGATTGTGAGCTGAATTTGTAATGTAAAAGATTATCCAAGTTTGTTTTGATGCCTTGTGAATGGCAACATGCAAGACTTCGCATCTGTACATGTATTTGTCTTGGAAGACAAATAAATTTGGTAACTGTTTGTAAGATACAGTGGTACCTTGGTTCTCAAATGCCGAAAACCCGGAAGTAGTGTTCTGGTTTTCGAATGTTTTTTGGAAGCAAATGTCCAATGCAGTTGTCAGGTATTGTTTTTGGGGCACCTGCACCAATCAGAAGCTGTGCCTTGGTTTTCGAACATTTCGGAAGTCAAACAGATGGAACGGTGCTTTTGTTTTTGCTATTTATTTTGCGTTTTTGAGGACTTTTCAGTTAATTTGTTTTTATGACCATGTTGATAATCATTTTTGTCATCTACAATACTGTCTCCTTTATTTTATAGCATTGTACATTGATTATTGCTTTCATTTTATAGATCAATGGTCTTGTTAGATAGTAAAATTCATGTTAAATTGCTGTTTTAGGGGTTGTTTTTAAAAGTCTGGAATGAATTAATCCGTTTTGCATTACTTTCTATGGGAAAGGGCGCCTTGGTTTTGGAACGGACTTCCGGAATGGATTAAGTTTGAGATCCAAGGTACCACTGTGCTCAGTAAAGTTTATGAAGAAGAAGAAAAAGAGGAGGAGGAGGAGGATTGGGCAATTTCTTTTTAATATATACATATTTTTAAAACATATCATTTCCAAAAATCATATAACTCCTTACCTTATATAATATTTTAGACTTCTGTCAACACCTCTGATGATTTTCCGTTCTTTATCACTTATTCTGCATTTCTTAATTTCTCTATTACTCTTAATTATCATTAACTAATAATTCTCCACATAGTCTTTCTTGCAATATTTCAAATAGTCCTCCTTACAAAACTTCTTGCAATCCTACTAGCGTAATCTGTTCATTACAATTACTTTTCAAATAGTTCATATATTTACTCCAGTCTTCTAAGAATCTCTGGTCTCGCAAGTTTCGAACCCTTCCTGTTAATTTATCTAGTTCTGCATAGTCCATCAATTTCATCCACCATTCTTCTTTTGTTGGTAATTCTTCTTGCTTCCATTTTTGTGCAAATAGTATTCTTGCTGCTGTTATTGCGTATAAAAACAACTTACAATCCTGTCTATTAATATCATCTCCTACAATGCCAAGTAAAAATGCTTCTGGGTTCTGCTAAGTTAAGCAGATATATAAGAATGAATGTACATTTCAACATCTTTTTCATCTCATTATATATCATTTCCCAGAAGTTTTTCACTTTTTTACATTCCCACCACATGTGATAAAAAGTTCCTTCCTTTTCTTTACCTTTCCAGGATTGGGCAAATTCATGGAGGAGAAGGCTATTTATTAGATGTGGTGGCTCTGCCTCCACAGTTGAAGGCAGGAATCTTTCTGAATAAGAGTTGCTGGGATCCATGGGATCTAGGAAAGGCTCTTGTGCTCAGGTGTAGCTTGCTGGTTTGTCACAGGCATCTAGTAAACCATTGTGAAAATAGGTTGCTGGACTAGACACTGGTCTGACCCAGCTGGCTCCCTTAACTATCAATGGATCCAGCCACAGTGAGTTAGCTGAATGATTTTAAAGAACCACTGAAGATGATGGTCATCATTTCTTCTTCCCAGGAAACGGTCCGCCCTATGAATCAGGGGCAGCATCTGGGGCGGCCACGAGTGTTCTAGGACCCCCCCAAAAAATTAAAGGAGGGGGCTGGGCCTCCTCAATATTCTGCGGCGACCATGTGCACACTGTCTGTGGAGGGAGCTGCACAGCCCCACATTTTCTAAGTGACCTTTTTTCTTGATGGGCTCCCCATTCAGAACTGGGAAATGGAGAGATATGTCAGTTAGAAGGAACTATTTGCCAGACAGTTTGTGCGTTCAACATACCTGGGACTGTGTTTCATGCAGTCTGCTAGTTTTCTAAGGTTCTTCCTGGGTGGGAGGAAGACCTCAAGCCTCACAGCACCTTTAGCATTCCTCTGGAAGGAGATCAGGAAGTTGATCTCTTGTGCCTGGAGTCGAAAGAGAATGAAATGAATGAGGAACTGAAGCTGCTTTAGACTGAACCAGACCTTTGGCCCAGTGCTGTCTACTCTGAATGGCAGCCTGCTCTCCCAATCCTGAGACCTGAGGGCCTAAACAAGGTGGTACTCTTAATTCAAAGTATATACACAAAGTATCAAATGTGGTGACAGTAATAATCATACAACAAAACAACACCACAAACTGGCTTATAAGTATAAAACCAAATTTACTAGAATAATAACTAGTATAGAAATAGACTTGTAACCATTCAAACAACAAACATACTCAGGTGCCATGTGCATGACAAAGCCTGGAGATACTGTAAACATGGAGTGGATAAATGTACAACTCTATCTTAACAAGTTAAAGGTAAAGGTAAAGGGATCCCTGACCATTAGGTCCCATCATGACTCTGGGGTTGTGGCGCTCATCTCGCTTTATTGGGCCGAGGGAGCCGGCGTACAGCTTCCGGGTCATGTGGCCAGCATGACTAAGCCGCTTCTGGTGAACCAGAGCAGCGCACAGAAACGCTGTTTACCTTCCTGCCGGAGCGATACCTATTGATCTACTTGCACTTTGAGGTGCTTTCGAACTGCTAGGTTGGCAGGAGCAGGGACCGAGCAATGGGAGCTCACCCCATTGCGGGGATTCGAACCACCGACCTTCTGATCGGCAAGTCCTAGGCTCTGTGGTTTAACCCACAGCGCCACCCGCATCCCATCTTAACAAGTTAGATGTGCAGTAAACATTTTATAGACCGGATAAATGAACCGTTCAACAAGTAGCGTAAGCCCAATCACAGAACGGCAGCCCCGTGCCACCACAATGGCAAGGGTAGCACACTGGAGAATATGAAAAAGTTTTTCAGAGCTGTTTTTCGAAGATTGAACTGGATGAGATGTTCTTCAATGGGTCTTGAGTTGGAAACACAAAGCCGTATGCATGGATTAATCACAGGAAGGAAAATCAAAGCCACCACCCTGGTGAGAATAATGCAAGTGGGCAAAAGGAGACCTGTTCTCCAGATATATTACAGGTTTCGCTACACGCTTCATCAGTCCGAAAAGCGAATCATACAAAACGGTTTGCTCAGGATAAAGAAAGTATTCACAGGCACAACGCCACACACCTGTTCTGGCTGGGGCCGATGCAAGTTGCAGTCCAGAACATCTGGAAGGGCGCCTGGTTGGGGAAAGCTGCTCCCCATTCATGCTTGGCAACCACACGTAAAGTTTAAAAAATAGTACTAGGTTCAGGGTGGAGGGTTTTCATCAGGACCACAGTGTATGGGGAGGGAGGTTTATCCTTGCCCTCCCTTACTGTGATTCCAGCAAAATCCCACCTGCACTGCAATTAGCCTTTGGAAGCAGAGAAAGCTCCCATTGACACCAATGGGAGCTTTCCCTCTAAAGCTAACTGTAGTGCTGGTGGAATCCAGGATTGTGTTGGGAGAGGAAAGGGTGAAGATCAACTCGCCCTGCAAAGCGGCTTTCTTTCTTTCTTTCTTTCTTTCTTTCTTTCTTTCTTTCTTTCTTTCTTTCTTTCTTTCGCACTTAATTTATTTATTATTAATGTTGCAATACGTATATGAAATCTTTACATATTGATACATATACGTTATATTCATAAATTCACATTTTCACATTTCCTTATGTACCAACATTTATCCATTTCTTTTTTCTTGCCCTGTTTCTTCCCTCCACCCGTGCGTGACTTCCTTGTTATTATTTTGTAACTTTATTATTGAGATTGTAATTTTGTATCTTAATAATTAAACATTCATTCTTATATATCTGCTTAACTTAACTTTGTGAAATCAGTCTATTGCGTATCAATAAATTCTTGTTGGAGCATCTTTTGGTCATGTATTCTTCTACACATTTCCATTCCTGTTTGAGATTTTGATTGGATTGCATTGCATTCTAATTGTTGCCGTCATTTTTGCTAATTCAATCATTTCAAAAAAATTATTTTGCCAATCTTTCAATGTTGGTACTTCTTCTGATTTCCAGTTTTTTGCAATCAATAACTTTGCGGCAGCTGTTGCATATAAAAAGATTCTCTTCATGTCTTTGGGGATGTCATTTGTAATAATTCCTAAAAGGAATTTTTCTGGCTTCTTACCTATTGTTGTTTTAAACATATTTTCAGTTCCTCATGTATATTTCCCCAAAATTTCTTAATTTTATTACATCTTAATTTTATTACATACATGATATAAGGATCCCTCTGATACCTTACATCTCCAACACAGATTTGATGTTAGTTTATAATTTTTAGCCAGTTTTACAGGGGTTAAGTAATAGAATACACATTGCAATCCGATTTACATGAATAAATGCCCTTTGCTGAACACTTTACCCCAGCGTGTGCAGTTTTCAACACACTCTTTCGATGGAGGACAACATTGCAAAATTTGGAGAAGTGCGCATTCTGAAGGATGGCTGTGTTTTTTTGTGCTCCCGTTGCTACAGAAAGTGCAAATGAGGTTTGCCTTTAAATGCAAATGGCATTGGATTTCTCCCCCACCCCTTGTCACAGCTCACTTGAACCCAAATTGATTTCATTGGGCTCCAGTGTCACAAACACCCGTCTGTCAGGGCCTCAGCCCTATCACGTCCATTTGCCTAAATCTAACCATCACCCCAGGCACAATCCCTGAAAAGCCACTGGATTTGCTTGGAAGATGCATCTCTGTGTACATATTGTGCTGCTTGTTGCCAAGTTTTTGGGAGTCTGCAAAGGGCGGGTCATTGTTTATTGCCAGTTAAAGACCCCCAAGAGAGAGGCTTTGTTTCACTGGCCAGAATAGCCCCAGCCTTGGAAGGACAGAAAAGGCTTTGTTTTGACAGTAGCAGCAGCAGCAGCGGCGGCTGCGAAGACCTGTTCCAAGCTTGCTAACTATAGCATATTTTATGGCAGAGCCGTAAATAACAAGCCCAGAGTTACAGCAGGGGCCAAGTTATGACATCATGTTGTTTGGGATTATAGAACGAGCGAGCGAGCGAGAGAAAATACCTTCCATGGAGGCGGTCTGGTCTAAAATAAGCAACTTTTCCAGAACTAGCTTTCTCACGGGGATTAGACAGGGAAAGTTGGAGGGGCATTGATACTGCGTTGGCAGGTTATTCCAATAGGTCTCGATGGAGCTTTCCCAGGGTTTGCATTTAGGAATGGCATGCAATAACCAAACCTTAAAAAACTAAATCTGTGCATGGACCAGGAATTCTGGGCTGTTTCTGCCACACCCCCTTGCTGTCTCTGGCTACGTCCCCATGAACGGTGCTTCCGTTTATCCAACCTCTTTGTAGCTCTCAGGATGAAGTAGATGCCCTATAGTGAGATGAAAATGAGCGTTGGAGGCTAGAAGCCACAGGGCAAGCAGGATCAGCCAAAGATATTTTCTTGCTCACCCTACTGAAGTCAGGGTGCACAGTACTCTATGATACTACGTGCCTGATTTAGCACAGTGGCTAGAGTGTTGGACTAGGACCTGGGATAAAAGGTAAAGGTAAAGGGACCCCTGACCATTAGGTCCAGTTGTGACCGACTCTGGGGTTGCGGCACTCATCTCGCTTTACTGGCCAAGGGAGCCGGCATACAGCTTCCGGGTCATGTGGCCAACATGACTAAGCCGCTTCTGGCGAACCAGAGCAGCGCACGGAAACGCTGTTTACCTTCCCGCCGGAGCAGTACCTATTTATCTACTTGCACTTTGATGTGCTTTTGAACTGCTAGGTTGGCAGGAGCAGGGACCGAGCAATGGGAGCTCACCCCGTCGCGGGGATTCGAACTGCCGACCTTCTGATCGGCAAGTCCTAGGCTCTGTGGTTTAACCCACAGTGCCACCCGCGTCCCCTCAGGACCTGGGATACTGCAGTTCAAATCCCCGTTCAGCCATGAAGCTCATTGGGTGACCTTGGGACAGTCGCTCACACTCAATCTGTCAGCTGTGCGTGCAGGAGCCAGGCCCTGTGACCAATAGGACTTAGCAGGACTGGGGCCTTCCTAAGTTTGTTCTGAAGAGGCAAGGCGCGGCCTCACAGGTGAGGCCGATTGGTAACTCACAGCACCTGGTGGCAAGAGCTGGGAAGGGATATAAGGTCAGCATTTCCCTTCAGCTCTTTGCCACAGCAGCACGTTCCCTGCCTTGCGATGTTTGACTTCATGACTCCTTGGTTCTCGATCCTCGGACCCCTGACTTCGTGACTCCTTGCTGCTTGATCCTCGGACCCCTGACTTCGTGACTCCTTGCTGCTTGATCCTTGGACCCCTGACTTCGTGACTCCTTGCTGCTTGATCCTTGGACCCCTGACTTCGTGACTCCTTGCTTCTTGATCCTCGGACCCCTGACTTTGTGACTCCTTCCTTCCTGACCCTTGGACCCTTGACTTCCTGACTCCTGGACCCCCGTTCCTGCTCCCACCCCGCCATCTTGCCCCCGGTCCTGACGTCCCCTGCCAGGACTTCGATTCCCCATGAACCGGACCGTGACACAATCTAAGCTACCCCATAGGGCTGAGAGAATGGAGAAATATGATTTCCTCTTGGTTAGGGGGTCTCCAGCTCTTCCCCTCATCTAGCCCGTCCCTGACATCACTCCCCCCGCCCCCAAACCCCGTACAAACTCACTCTCAGATTCTGGTACTGGAGCCTCGTGTTCCGGAGGCGGTTCCGAGCCTCGGTGGCTTTTAAGACCCCAATGAGGTTCTTCTGTTCCGCCACCTTTTCCTCTTCTGGCACCAAATTCCTGTCCTTCATGAGGACGGCAGCCAGCATCTCTTTCACCTTGGGCTGACTGGGGTCGGCGAAGGCCAAGTAGCGTGCCATCTGTGCCGGAGTCATCTTGTTTGTTTCGCTGGCGCTTGAACGCTTCTGGTGTCGCACGGTGAACTTATTTCTCTGGAGCGCTCCGCCTTTGGACATCTTTGCTTATCTCGCCGACTTAGATTGGACTGATGGTTGGCAGGAGGGCTATGGAAGAGAGGAAGACCAACAGCTTGACCATGGGAATAATAATAATAATAATAATAATAATAATAATAATTTTTATTTATACCCCACCCTCTCCGGCCAGAGCCGGGCTCAGGGCAGCTAACACCAGTAAAATTACAGTAAAATCATAATAGGAAAAAAACCACCAATTTAAAATATAGGTTAAAATGCAATTTAAAATGCAGCCTCATTTTAAAAGTAGCCCATAGATCAAGACCATAAGGGGAGGGAAACATAAGGGTCACTGTGAGTCCAAACCAAAGGCCAGGCGGAACAGCTCTGTCTTGCAGGCCCTGCGGAAAGATGTCAAGTCCTGCAGGGTCCTAGTCTCTTGTGACAGAGCATTCCACCAAGTCGTGGCCAGTACTGAAAAGGCCCTGGCCCTAGTTGAGACCAATCTAACCACCTTGCGACCTGGGACCTCCAAAATGTTGTCATTTGTGGACCTTAAGGTCCTCCGCGGGGCATATCAGGAGAGGCGGTCCCGTAGGTACATGGGTCCTAGGCTACATAGGGCTTTAAAGGTCGAAACCAGCACCTTAAACCTGACCCTGTACTCCACCGGGAGCCAGTGCAGTTGGTAAAGCACTGGATGAATGTGATCCCACGGCAAGGACCCCGTAAGGAGCCTTGCTGCAGCATTCTGCACCCGCTGGAGTTTCTGGGTCAGCTTCAAGGGCAGCCCCGCGTAGAGCGAGTTACAATAACACAAGCCTATTTAAAACGCTGAAGTAACACTTGAAATGCATTATGTTTCCCAACTCTGTACATCAGGGGTGTCTAATGCCAAGCCCCCCCCCACTATTCCCCCCTGCCCACTTTTGCTTCCCAATTTTGAGTTCCCCACCCCTCAGATAACAGCAGAAAGACGGATGCCTAGGGCTGCCTGCTTTTCATTGGGCCCTGCAGCCGCCAGCAGTTGATGCTTTTCATGGTGTGGAAACAAACAGTACCCCCTGCTAACAGTTTCCGATCAAGCCAAACGGCAAAAAAGAGGCTTGAGGGTCTGGCTGAAAAGCTGGCCATCCTAAAACCACGCTGTGCGTGTTTGTTTTCCACAACAGATATATGAAGGGAAGAGAAGAGAAAACAAAAATAGAAAGACGTGTCAAAAGAGGAAAACGCTCCCCATCGTCTCCTGAGCCTGCTAGCAAGAAATAACACATGATGTTTCAGATAAGAAAGAGGAAGTGGTTTCATGGGTGATACCAGAGCCTTTTAACTAGAATTTCAGCCACAAGCTAGAAGCGGACAACTCCTCAGTGCCAAGTCAGCGCCTTTGGCATTTTCTGCCTGGCTTCTGACGAACCACGTCTCGTCCAGCAAGCATCTTTTGGGCTGGAAGGCGTGATGGCTCACAGCCGGAACTCGCAGATGGACACAGGCTTAGATTTGCTACAGGGGGAGTTGCTCCTACAAAACCCTGTCCAAGAACGGAAACATTTTTTAAAAAAGTATTGCTGGAACGTTTGGTTGGGAGAAGCCAGCCACGGAGAGCCTCTTGTGCAGATCACAGAATTAGAAGGTCCAGAATGTGATTCTGTCTGCTCCATGCAGGTTTTTGCATGGGCCAGGTAACCACCAGGCTCTGAGACCTGCGTTGCCCACCAGCTACATGACACCTGGTTGAGTCGTTTGGGTTCCCCACGCTGATGCTCCCCAAATGCCTCATGGCACATTCCTGTGGGCCGCTTGGAGGGGCACCATTGGCAAAAGCAACCTTAGCTTCCAGTGCTTACTACCCAAAGGAAATAAATCCTGTTATCTTGTTCTGTTAAATGCATCATCCTACCTGCCACTTATGGGACACGGGTGGCACTGTGGGTTAAACCATAGAGCCTAGGACTTGCCGATCAGAAGGTCGGCGGTTCGAATCCCCACGACGGGGTGAGCTCCCGTTGCTCGGTCCCAGCTCCTGCCAACCTAGCAGTTCGAAAGCACGTCAAAGTGCAAGTAGATAAATAGGTACCGCTCTGGCGGGAACGTAAACAGCGTTTCCGTGCTGTGCTCTGGTTGGCCAGAAGCGGCTTAGTCATGCTGGCCACATGACCCGGAAGCTGTACGCAGGCTCCCTCGGCCAGTAAAGCAAGATGAGCGCTGCAACCCCAGAGTCAGCCACGACTGGACCTAATGGTCAGGGGCCCCTTTACTTTATCTGCCACTTGTCCAGCACTTTCCTTAAGCATCACCTTGTTCATTAATCCTCACCCCAGCTCTGGAAGGTAGGCCTTTACTACATTTAAGCCTGGGCAAATATGGCTATTAAACACTCACACACCCCTTTGTAATGACACTTACCTTTGGGGAAAGTCAATGGTGAGTGTGTGTGTGGTGGTGTTGTTTTTAAAAAGCCACTTCCTTGAGAACAAAACTTCAGTCTCAGTTAGCCAGTCTTTAGATACAATGCAAGACAATAGTTTCCCTGTTGGTCAAAAAGAGAAAAGCCCCAGGTCATGCCTTGCTTTCCAGAGTGCACCATGGGAAAAGGGGACAGGACAGGACAGGTTACCTGTGACCTTGATGGTGAATTTCCTAGTTGGGGTTGGTGCCAGCTATTGGTGAGGTCCAGCACTAGCCCCCAGGAGCTCCAGCCAGCCTGACCCAATGTCAGGAGCTGGAATGAAGTGCAGGACAGCAATAAAAATACCAGTGTCTCAAAGAAACTAAAGCAGCGCAGGTCTAGTGATCCCTGCTCAGCGCCTGAGAGCCCCAGTCCTGTCACTCACCACCTGGCCTATGGCGGGGCCTGATGGACTCTATAAAGGACTGCTGCCGCTGCTGTCGCTGGGCAGAGAGGGCTCCATTTTGTTTTGTTTTTGTTTTTTGTTTAAATTGCTGCTATTTTTTACCTATGTCATTTTAAACTGTGATATTAATGCTGTATTCTTAGTTTTAGTTTTTGATTTTTTTAAAAAAAGATATTTATTAAAGGTTTAATAGTTACAGAAAAAAGAAGACAAAAACAACAATAAAAAGTTCACAATACATCAAAAATAAAAAGAAAAACAAAAAACAATACAGCGAGACGACAAGAAAAGCAAAAACAATTAAAAACACATCCAATATTTCTATATATCTACCTTTCATTTACTTGTATCATCGACCTCCTCACACCTCCCTTTTTTGTATTCTTGTTCAATTAGCTATTTCAGCAAATCCTTTCCATCTTTCTTATTTTTTTCTCTATAATTTATCTTAACACAGTCTAACCTTAAATTTCCACTTTGACCCATTAACAATCTATTTTTACTTAATTCTTTATAACATTTCTGCTAAAGCCATATAACTTCTTTCCAGCATCCTTCTAACATTCATTAATTTTACAATATTTCTGTAAATATACTTTAATTTTTTTCCAATCTTCTTCCACCGACTCTTCTCCCTGGTCTCAGTTTTAGATTTTGATTTATGTGGAAATTGTTTTCCATTTGGTTGTGTATTTTTTTGATGTGCTTTATTTATTGTTTATGACTTTTGTAATTGTGCAAATTTTGTCATGCTGTAAGCCGCCTTGAGCATTTTTTTTTTAACTGTGGAAAGGCGGCATACAAATAAAAAATGATGATGTTCCTAGCAACTCTTCCCAGTAGGTCTTGGTCTAACAAGGCAGGTGTGAGTGTTAGGATATAGTTCTATTCCACCTTAAAAGGAACAGGCATGACTGTTGTGTGTCACATGCCTGTTCACTTCCAGCACAGGCTTGCTGGGAACTTCCGTTTGTATATTGCTTTTGCAATTGCTGTTTTGCTTGGACACGAAGGGAAGCAGACATGTTTTTCCATTGTCCTGCTGCTGAATAAATGCTGTAAATATGCTTACACATGTCTCTGTCTGCTACTTCTGCTGCAAAGAGTTTCTTCTGGTAAAATGCGGTCTTGACTATGCTACCACTCAGTGGATTTGTAACTGGCTGACTGACCGAACCCAAAGGGTGCTCATCAATGGTTCCTCTTCATCCTGGAGAAGAGTGACTAGTGGGGTGCCACAGGGTTCTGTCTTGGGCCCGGTCTTATTCAACATCTTTATCAACGACTTGGATGATGGACTCAAGGGCATCCTGATCAAATTTGCAGATGACACCAAACTGGGAGGGGTGGCTAACACCCCAGAGGACAGGATCACACTTCAAAACGACCTTAACAGATTAGAGAACTGGGCCAAAACAAACAAGATGAATTTTAACAGGGAGAAATGTAAAGTATTGCACTTGGGCAAAAAAAATGAGAGGCACAAATACAAGATGGGTGACACCTGGCTTGAGAGCAGTACATGTGAAAAGGATCTAGGAGTCTTGGTTGACCACAAACTTGACATGAGCCAACAGTGTGACGCGGCAGCTAAAAAAGCCAATGCAATTCTGGGCCTCATCAATAGGAGTATAGCATCTAGATCAAGGGAAGTAATAGTGCCACTGTATTCTGCTCTGGTCAGACCTCACCTGGAGTACTGTGTCCAGTTCTGGGCACCACAGTTCAAGAAGGACACTGACAAACTGGAACGTGTCCAGAGGAGGGCAACCAAAATGGTCAAAGGCCTGGAAATGATGCCTTATGAGGAACGGCTAAGGGAGCTGGGCATGTTTAGCCTGGAGAAGAGGAGGTTAAGGGGTGATATGATAGCCATGTTCAAATATATAAAAGGATGTCACATAGAGGAGGGAGAAAGGCTGTTTTCTGCTGCTCCAGAGAAGCGGATACGGAGCAATGGATCCAAACTACAAGAAAGAAGATTCCACCTAAACATTAGGAAGAACTTCCTGACAGTAAGAGCTGTTCGACAGTGGAATTTGCTGCCAAGGAGTGTGGTGGAGTCTCCTTCTTTGGAGGTCTTTAAGCAGAGGCTTGACAACCATATGTCAGGAGTGCTCTGATGGTGTTTCCTGCTTGGCAGGGGGTTGGACTCGATGGCCCTTGTGGTCTCTTCCAACTCTATGATTCTATGATTCTATGATTCTCTGCTGGCTTGCGTGCTTAAGCCTCTGAAGGCTTTTGAGGCTTAAGTCACAGTTTTGATGCTGTTCTGAGAACCAGAGTTTTGCCCGGCTGCTGGCCAGTGGCTGGAGCTAGCTGGGGGCCTGCCAGACGCCCCCGTCTCCTGACAGCATCCCAACAGTGAGGACTGAAGGTCCCTGAGTTCCACCACTCTTTAAGGCTCTTCCTTTCCTGGGCTTTCCCCAAGCAATCTCAGACTGCACCTGCACACAACTAATCTCTGCTCTGCTCTTTTCATTTCTCTGTGTGTCCTAGGAGACCAGTGGGGAGGGGAACTGGTCGTAACAGGGAACAATGACGACCCCCTGACTTCTTCAGCAGCCCTCTGTCTCCTGGCCCCATCCCTCTCCAGCCTTTGCTTCAGCCTTGAAGTCTGAGCTGCCATCTGCCACAACCTCTTCCTGCTCATGAAACCCTGTGGCCTCCGATGCCTCCTCCCCAAAGTCTTCTCCCACTTGCCATCCTTCCACCTTCTGAACCTTCTTCCCTTGGGGATTTCCCAGCTGGTGCCTTCCATCAATCCTCTATCTCCAGCCAGTCTATGACACCCAGCTGCGACACCTCTCCGCACCTCTCTGTTAGCTCCTCGGACATTCATTTTAGGAGCGGGTGAGTGGCAGTGCTATTTTTCAATAGGAGCAAAGCTCAGCTCCCATACTTGGTGGCTGCCGGCCTTCTCAATTTACCCAAAATGCAATGCTCCAGCCTATATAGTCCTATGAAATCTATAAAACTCAGCCTCATAGACCTTATGGATTTAAAGGTCGTGGCATTGCATTTTGCTTAAATTAAGATGGCGGGCAGCCGCCATGGATGGGAGCTGACTTTGTCTCCCATTCAAATGAAGCAATGCCATTTGCCCACCATTAAAATCTCATCGGGATGCCTTGGAGGATGAGTGGCAGGTGTGGTGTTGTGATTATAGGGTGGGACTAGGACCTGGGAGATCAGGGTTTGAATCCATGAAACTGGCCCTGTTCCTGTATGTCACTGGCAAGCAGTGCTTGAGCCAAAATAATAAGCCAGTGAAGAGGCCCAAACCACCCACACAACACACTCTCAGTTAAACTCCATAATTGCCCTATTATTGCTCCATTGGTGCTGGAGGAGACTCTTGAAAGTCCCATGGACTGCAAGAAGATCAAACCTATCCATTCTTAAAGAAATCAGCCCTGAGTGCTCACTGGAAGGACAGATCCTGAAGCTGAGGCTCCAGTACTTTGGCCACCTCATGAGAAGAGAAGACTCCTGATGCTGGGAAAGATGGAGGGCACAAGGAGAAGGGGATGACAGAGGACGAGATGGTTGGACAGTGTTCTCGAAGCTACTAATGTGAGTTTGACCAAACTGTGGGAGGCAGTGGAAGACGGGAGTGGCTGGCGTGCTCTGGTCCATGGGGTCACAAAGAGTCGGACACGACTAAACGACTAAACAATAAAAAATGCCCCAACATCATACTCAGTTAAACATTCTTAAGATATCAGTGACTTCCCTTCTTCTCTTTCCATGGTTCATTTTGCATACCATAAATCACTGCATATTTTACATAAACTAAACCATTCTGTATTCCATTATTGCATCCATCAAAACTTATTTACACTGTTGAATTTATCTTAATGCTGCCAACGTTTCCAAGTGTACACAATTTCCCCCCATATATTCAATAAACGTTTTCCAATCTTCTCTAAACGTATGTTCTTCTTGTTCTCTTATTCTATATGTTAATTAACATATTCTATATGTTAATTGTGCAGTCTGCAATCTGTGCATATTCTTTCAGCTTAAGTTGCCATTCTTCTTTGGTTGGGACCTCACTCGTTTTCCATTTTTGGGCTAACAAAACACGGGCCGCAGTAGTGGCATACAGAAACAACCTGTTTTGACACCTGGGTATTTCCGTCTGAATTATCCCCAACCGAAAGGATGGGCAAATCTGTCCCATTTTGCTTTCTCTCAGTTTCTCATTTTTCCACTCTTAAGAACTGTTCTCCCCATGTGTGATTTTTTTTTTAAAAGTCCCTTGAAAAGTCCCTTGAAAATCCATCCGAGTTTTCTCCTGCTACACATGTTACACAATTCTACCCAATATACACATTTCTGCAAAGCAATCTTCCCTAATATGTTATATTTTCCCACTAATATATGCATTTTTAGGCACACTTTACCCTGGACAGTATATATGCACACATCATTTGGCTAGGGAACCGCCTTGCAAAATTCAGAGGAATACGGACTTTGAAGGAAAGCTGTGTCTTAGTTTGCATAGTTTTGGCAAGTGAGAATGTAGGCTGATTTGCCTTTGAAATGAAAACTGTGTCAAACATCCACAAGGGAAAGGACAGGAGTGGGGTGGTGATATAGGGGTGAAACAGAAGGTCCCAGGCTCCCCCTTACCCTAAAACCCCCTCTTTTTGGTTTCTCCCACTCCGTGACCCTTCTCTCACCTGCCAAGTCAACATCCTCTCCTGCAGCTCTCAGGGCCTTGTACTGGTCTGAGCTTTTGGTCCAGGCCTCCAGTGTACAAACGTCTCCATGGAAACCTAGTTGCCAGGCAACTCAGACAATGGCAAGGAGGCTCCCAGTCTGCCCAGCCTTCACACACATGCACTGACCATCAAGCTGCGGCCTGCTGATCTGAAACTTAGAGAGGGAAATGGTGAGTTAAAGAAAATGTTTAAAAACACTTTTGTTATAAAAACCCCAGAAGCTTTTTTATCGGGTATAGTGGGTAAAGAGATACCAAGACAAGATAAAAAAAATTGCTCTTATATGCAACAACTGCGGCAAGAATTTTGTTAGCCCAAAGTCGGAAACAAGAGGAGCGAAGAGAGGACAAAGGGACTATCTCTTTATGGGATAGTTTCCAGGCATATGTTACTTTTCTAAGCTAAGTCTGCCTTCTGGGATCTGATTGTGAACAGAATGTGAGTAAACTCTTTTTTATACTTTTATAGAAGACTGTGTCGTGTCTTATCTTTTATGAGGGAATAAGGGGAAAATACCAGAACAGTTATTACAGAGGCTTTCGCGAGCTTGAGCAAACGCATCTGCTGTGAGTTTAAAAAGGGGAATGTTACTCTGCTAAATTGTGAACTTGTTTACACAAGTTGGAAAGGCTATAATTAAACAATATATCCTCTCCTGCATCCCTGAACATTCCCACACTTCCCAAAGCCCGGGAAGCTTCTGCTCAGTTTAGGGAGGGCGGCTCAATGCTTCGACGAGTCCAAGAGCCATTCCGCCACCTTCCCAAAGCCCTCATAACTTTGGGAAGGAGACAGCAGGACTCTACCATCCTGTCAGTGTCCTGACACTTCCTTCCCAAAGCCTGGGAGGCTTCTGCCTGGCTTAGGGAAGGTGCCACAATGCCCAACTTTGCGACATCGCCTCACACCACCCTCGCAAGTTGGCTCCTCTGCCCTAATTCTTCTCCCACAAAAAAATTCCACGCATGCCACTGGTTCCTGGGGTGTGGCTGCTGTCTCATGCTTTTTTAAAAAATAACATTTTATTAATTTTCCCAAAATAACAAACAAAAAAGAAAATAACACCACAAACCAATTTTTGAACCATAATTCTTTTTTTCCTTCTCTTCTTTTTAATTTTTTTGAAAAGTTTTTATTGTTAAAATAATTCAGCATTAATACACACATTGCGAATATGCAAACATACAAACTTACATTTCATACAGTCCTTTAAAATGTTCAAACATACCTACACTCAATCCCACAGATAATTCCCATCCCCATCCACCACCCCTCACCCCACCTTTGTGTTAGACTTCCAATCTACTCAATTGCAATTTCTTTCCACTTCTATTACCTTCTATCACACACCTTTAACCTAATTTCATGCTTCTTTTTCTATTACTCATTGTTATCCATCTTATTTAGCATTCCAGTATTTAAAACGGAACTTGTTTATTCTAATAGGAGTTCTGATTTTTCAATATGGTTTTGCAAGTATCCTTTAAACACCTTCCAGTCCCTGTCTATCTTCTCTTTTGAGATTCTTCCAATTTCTCCCATTGTTTTGGATATATTGTAGTACTCCAATAATTTGGCAAGCCACTCTATTTTTGTCGGTATAATACCACTTTTCCAATTTTTCACAATCAATAACCTTGCGGCTACTGTTGCCTATAAGTATAATGTCTTGTTTTCTTCCTTTAGACAAGAAGACAATTTTTGAACTATAATTTTTTGGTTGACTTCCCTCCACTCCCCCTCTTGCTTCCATTATTTAATACTTGTTCATGCATGTTCATAAAATTTTATATTCTTAACAATCCATTTTTTAAACCTTCATCTTACTACAAATGAGTTTTAATAGTTATACTAATGTGGAAGTCTATACACAAAGCTTGAAGAACATGCAGTAAACCTTTACCCCTTCTTTAAAGTTCAAAGCCCCCTTTCTTTCTCGGGTTTCAAATTGGCCAATTTGTCCTGCATAGTTCAATAATTTATTTTCCCAATCTTCTTCTTCTTTGGCGGAGGTTTCTTCCTTCAGTAGGAGCTAGCTAGTCTTGGACTTTTGATCCACTCTCAAAGACAGGAACAAAGTCTTTCGCTCAATAAGTCCATCAAGTCCTGTACCTCTCAATATCACAACTTCAATTTTTTTAAACAACAATCCTTTTCCACATTCTCTTCAGGTCTTTATATATTTTCCCCCAGGCCTTTTTAATAATTTTACATTCCCACCACACATAATACAGTTATACCTCAGATTACAGATGCTTCAGGTCGCGTTTTTTCAAGTTACGGACCCGCCGAAACCCGGAAGTACCGGAATGGTTTACTTCCGGGTTTTTGGGGTTCGTGCATGCACAGAAGCGCTAAATCACGCTTTGTGCATGTGCAGAAATGCTAAATCACACTTTGTGCATGCACAGAAGCACCGAATTGCAACCTGTGCATGCACAGACGTGCAGCTGCAGGCTGTGAACGCTGCAGGTTGCGAATGTGCATCCCGTACGGATCACGTTTGCAACCCGAGCGTCCACTGTAACATCTTATGCTTTTAGCCCTCCCTTCTGGCCGCTGTCTCAGGAGCATGACATGTCTCCCACCAGAGGTAATATCCCCTCCGCTAACAACACATGAATCCCGGTTTTTGTTGACACACATACAAAAATTGCAATGTGCAATTGCAATTGCCAAATGGGGATGTCCAAGCAACTAATGATGAATATAAAAGCACATTGAAACATCAACAATAAGTAAAGTTTCAACCACTCTATCAAATCAAAATATATATGCAAAAGCAGCATTAAAGTAAAGAAGCTGGATTTTTTTAAAAAATAATAATCTAAAAGACGAAGTGGAAGGGAAAACGTGCTAAAGTTTTTCAATGGCAATGGATCAGTGGCAGAGAAGGAGATAATTTGACCTCACAGGGATGGGGTGGGGGGTGGGGTGGGGGTTTCTGCATATTGGGGGTCACTAAAGAGGAAGTCCAGACTAGAAGAGCAGAAGATGTTGCAAATCAGATCAAGAGAGGAAGCTGGGGAACCTGGCAGCATCGCCGTTGTGATTTTTAGCTATTTCACAGGGTCATTGTTAAAGTGTGCTGAGACCTGCAACTCACGACTTCAAACCATTAGTATGTTTGTAAAGAACCCCAAACTGTTCTATACTGGTTCTTTGTTCCTTTTCCATTCTTCCCCCCACGCCCTTTAAATGCTCTCCTAAGAGGTGAATAATATTGGAGATCAGCTAAGAGCATTTTCATAATAAGAATGATGAAGCTTTGGAAAAAAAAAGGGGGGGGGGATGAAAAACTTTTCAGAGGTTATGAGAGATGCCTGTAAAGACCGAATATACCCACAACCTCCCATTTCTGCTCCTGGCTCCATTCTAGGAATATACGAGGGGAAAAACCATCTTAATAATAATAATAATAATAATAATAATAATAATAATAATAATAATTTATACCCCGCCCATCTGGCTGGGTTTCCCCAGCCACTCTGGGCGGCTTCCAACCAAGTATTAAAATACAGTAGTCTGTTAAACATTAAAAGCTTCCCTAAACAGGGCTGCCTTCAGGTGCCTTCTAAAAGTCTGGTAGTTGCTCTTCTCTTTGACATCTGGTTGAAGGGCGTTCCACAGGGCGTGTGCCACTACCGAGAAGGCCCTCTGCCTGGTTCCCTGTAGCTTTTTTTCTTGCAGTGAGGGAACCGCCAGAAGGCCCTCAGAGCTGGACCTCAGCGTCCGGGCAGAACAATGGGAGTGGAGATGCTCCTTCAGGGATACTGGGCTGAGGCCGTTTAGGGCTTTAAAGGTCAGGACCAACACTTTGAATTTTGCTTGGAAACGTACTGGGAGCCAGTGTAGGTCTTTCAAGACCTGTGTTATGTGGTCTCGGTGGCTGCTCCCAGTCACCAGTCTAGCTGCTGCATTCTGGATTAGTTGTAATTTCTGGGTCACCTTCAAAGGTAGCCCCACATAAAGCGCATTGCAGTAGTCCAAGCAGGAGATAACCAGAGCATGCACCACTCTGGAGAGACACTCTGCGGGCAGGCAGGGTCCCCGTCTGCGTACCAAATGGAGCTGGTAAACAGCTGCCCTGGACACAGAATTGGACCTGCGCCTCCGCCATCTAGCACTTTTCTCCAGACCATGCATCGTTTATCTAAAGGGCCAGTGAGAGGAATGACTGAATCCAAAGGGGGCAGCTGTGAGAACCTTATCCATCTCCAACCAGGAAGAATGGTGTTTGACAGTGGAACAATAGTGGAAGGTAGTGGACTCTCTCCTTCCTTGGAAGTTTTTAAGCAGAGGTAGGCTGGCCATCTCCCGGCGATTCTTTTGCTGCAATTCCTGCTTTTCAGTGGGTTGGACAAGATAATATTTGGGTTCCTTTCCAACTCTGCAGTTCTGAGATTCTATGATCCCTCGTGGATCAATACAAAAGCAGTGTTAATTTTTATAGATGCGGAGAAGGCCTTTGACAACATCTCTTGGAGGTTTATGAAGAAAAACTTGGAAGGGATGGGAGTGGGACGGGGGTTTGAAAATGGAATAGAGGCAATTTATTCAGAGCAAAAAGCTAAACTGATAGTTAACAATGTGGTGACAGAAGAGTTCAAAATTGAAAAAGGAACACGACAAGGTTGCCCTCTATCCCCTCTGTTATTTATTTCTGTCCTGGAGGTGCTTCTGAACATGATTAGGGAAGACTGGTTGGTACAAGGAATACAGGTCGGAGTGAAACAATTTAAACTGAAAGCTTTTGCAGATGATTTGGTTTTAACATTACAGGAGCCAGAATCTAGTACGAAGAGAGTGTTAGAATTAATCCATGAATTTGGTCGAGTGGCGGGGTTTAAATTGAATAAGCAAAAAACTAAGGTTTTGGAGAAAAATCTGACACCCTTGGAAATAAAGGGGTTTCAGAAAGAGACAGAACTAAATGTGGTTAAAAAGGTGAAATACCTAGGGGTTAATTTGTCTGCTAAAAATTTGAATTTATTTAAAGATAATTATGAAAAATGTTGGTCAGA